CCCCCCCCCACCCATTTTTCGTAAGAAACTACTGGTTTGTATTTGTTCCTGTCACGGTCCGATGTGCGAGCATCACGGAGGCTGTGCAGAAGGCTCCCAAGAGACGGGAGCCACCTCCTTGCTTCGAGGAGGGTGAAATCCAAGTGATGGCTTACCTATAGTCTCCATTGTGGTTCCTTTCTGTGGTTAACCGAATTTATATCCTAGGATCCCAACCATAAAATTGGTTCACCAAGAAAAGGAGCTGCAATGGAGACTATAGGTAGGGCTTAGGGTAAACTCTGACGGCGGCCTAGGGCCAGCTCCGACGCCGCTACTCATGCGCACCGCCCTGAGGCGGAAACTGAAACTGCGAGCCTACGTACCCAAGGTGGAGAACCCTAAGGGTCCATGTACTCATATAGCATATACATTGGCCTTAATGTAGTCCCTATATAGGTACTTTAGGGCCCATGTATATGCTATATGAGGACATGGACCCTTCGGGGAATGGAAAAGCCCACAGACTTTGAGATCATGTCGCTGAGGCCGGAGAAGGCCGAGTTGCCTGTGTTGGCAGAGACTCCAAGTGCAGACGCTATTGTGGAGGTGCCTGATTTTTTTTGCGGGCTCCTTATTGTACTTATGGTATACCCTATAGTCTCCATTGTAGTTCCTTTTGGGGGATGCCTTATAGAATCCTTAATATATAGTTGGTTAAGCCAAAAAAAGGAACTACAATGGAAGCTACAGATACTATACCTCCAAAATCCTATTCTAAGTATTAAGGCCCAAGAGCAGCGGTTTGCTCCTTTTTTTACAGCTGCTCCTTCGGCATCTTCGGCAAGTCACCGAGTCGTTCGAGAAGCCGTTCCGCCTTTCTTGATGTTTAGCCCTAACCCCCCAGGTACCTACTATATAGGGCCTTAGGGGCTCTAGTACCCTATATAGTAGGTACCTGGGGGGTTAGGGTAGGGTTTAGGGCTACGAATTGCAAGCCCTCCGACGCCTGGAAGGATGGCCTTCAACGGCATTGTCCTTTAAACCCTAAACCCTAAACCCCTAAACCCTAAACCCACTTAGGTTTAGGGCTTAGGGCCTACACTCTGAGTCTGGGCGTTGTGGGGTTGTATCCGAGCTTTGAGCAGTGTTTGATGTGTTTGGGGACACTGGCACTTATAAGAAAACCTTACTCTAAGGGTCCATGTACCCAAATAGTATATACATTGGCCTTCATGTAGTCCCTATATAGGTACTTTAGGGCCCATGTATGTGCCATATGAATACATGGACCCTTAGGGTTATACACAAATATAGAATGCCCCTACCAGCTCCAGGGTTCGTAGGCTGTTACTGGAAGGGGGGGGCAGTATCCACACTAGCACGATGAGGATGGAGACCTTACCGTCATCATCCATGACCGTTTGGTCCGCGACTTTGAGTTGCCGGAGGCATGGGCAGCTTCCTTTGGCAGCGAGTCCCCGTAAGAGTATGTCAAATTTTCCGGCCATCATACCTAAACCGTCTTGAAGAATGTCAAGCCCTAAATGTTAAGGATCTTCCGGAGCATGTGAAGGGCTCAGGGAGGAGTGGAAGCCCGATACACCCCGAACGTCTTCAGGTTCGAAGGTTTATGAGCTGAAGGTTTGGACTTCCAGCAAGCTTTCAAGCAGAAAACTTAGAATACGCATTTACAAGCCATATTCATATACAGAGACCCAAGCACCCCACGTCTACCAAGGAGTTTAGCAGCTTTCAGGTTGTGCTTTTGGCACTAGGGGTTTAGGGTTTGGGGTTTAGGGTTTAGGGTTTAGGGATGTTGGGCAAAGGCCAAGGTTTAGCGTTTGGGGTTTGGTTTACTTGAGGTTTAGTCATGAAGGTTTCCCTCTAGTCTCCATTGTAGTTCCCTGTTTGGTTCACCAAATTTATATCATAGGATCCTGACCATAAAACTGGTTAACCAGAAAAGGAACTAGCACGGAGACTATAGGTAGGGCTTGGGGTAGACTTTCCTGTTGCCCTCAACCCTAAACTCTCACCTGTATACAGCCTGGCCCAGTCCCCACCATGCAACGGTTTAGGGTTTAGGGTCGATGTGCAACTATCAGGACATCAACTTTAGGGTTTAGGGCTTAGAGTTCAAGGGTCCAAAACCCACTTGAACTTGTCACCCCCCCTGTACCCCCTCAGGGCATCTTTTTTGGAACCCTATACCCTAAACCCTAAACCCTAAACCGTACACATACTCTCTCTCTCTCTCTGTACGGCTTCACTGCCGGCAGTGACCCGAAACCCCAACAAGGCTTTTCCTTGCCATGTGCCCATATAGTATATACATTGGCGTTAATGTAGTCCCTATATAGGTACTTTAGGGCCAGTGTATATCATGGGTAGCCTTTGCACCTCTCCATGATGATCATGATGCACCCCCACAAAGTAGTAAGCTTGTCATGGGCATCAGAAGGCGGTATTTGCGTCGCCAAAACTCAAAACCACGCTTGACAATACAAGGACTTACAAACACTTATAGGACCTTATAGGGACTTATAAGGCCTTACCAAGACTTATTAGTGCTTAATAGAGCTTAATTTCGCTTTAATACGGCTTAATCGTTTGGGGGGCGCCTGCCTGCCACAGCTCAGGCATCACGTTTGAAAGGCGTATTGCCCAAGCCTGTGGACGCTGCTTATTAGGCCTTAATAAGCCTTATTAAGGCTTCTTAGAACATACTATGCCGAATTAGCAGTATCCCTCTGCGGGGGCCCATTCTGGAGAGGGGCATAGTGGGCCCATGAGTATATGCTATATGGGTACATGGACCCTTAGAGTTTGTGCTGTCTCGATCGCCGCACGTCAGAGACAAACATCCAGGCAGCACGCGCTCGAGGTAGCACGCGGTGAGATCGGCCTGCCTTCCAACCTAAAGCCTCAAACTCGTTCTGGCAATTCCGAAACGCCAAACCATGAGCGCACTTCGCATCCTGTCTCGGGAGGGTGCTGCTTCAATTTGTCCATGCTGTGTCGTTCGCAACTCATAGGCGAGACAGCGCGCACAAGTCCAGGCAGCACGGATTCGAGGCGAATTGGCAGGGAGAGGTTGATGACAAAAAACCCACAACCCGGTAAACCCTGAACCGCAACCCCCCTCCCCACCTATAGTCTCCATTGTAGTTCCTTTTATATAATTGGTTAAACCCAAAAAAGGAACTACAATGGAAACTACAGGCAGTACCCTAAACCCTAAACTCCAGTACCTTCACGGCTGGCAGGTTCTCATTGCGCCGGCTTTCCGCCTCGTGCGCCGCCATCGTTTAGCCGTGGGCCTCCTGCTTTTCGAGTAGTCTTTCAAGGGACTCAAGGAGGGACCCTCAAAGGGACTCTTGGGTTATAAAGGGGCTTTATGAGACAATGTAAGGGGTATATAAGGGTTATATAGGGTATGATTCGGGGTCCCTTCTAGGGTTCCCTCCAATTGTCCCTTGATAGTAGTGCCTCTCCTTCCGTTCGGCTGCCCTTAACCCTGAACCATGAGGGGAAGATGGAGGTTTGAGTTGTTCGAAATAAATGATATTCCCACTATTATCTCTTAAAAAACTATAGTCATATCACATACCCTGACTGGTAGGATACTTGTTGCGCGGATCCCTCAATAGGATACGTCTAACTCATAGGTCTGTGAAGCTTCTTAACTAATAACGGCAGCCGACTGGAACCGAGTCATGCGAAAGCAGTTGACCAGCAGCTGTTACATAGTTCTCCAATACCCAACCTTTGAACTCTTGGGTGAATTATATTGCGACTTGCGATCTTCTCAGTCAGTAAAATGCCATTCTGAAAGTCTACCCTTTTGGTCACTTTGGGTATCGGGGAGTAGGGTTAGCTGTTCCCGGCACTGTGCAAGCGGAATGCGCACCTCTGCCTTCGAGATAATTCGCATCGAGCTCCAGGTAGGTCATACCTTTATCAACCCGAAATGCCCTAAACTAAGCCCTCAGCCTTATCTGGATCACGCTTTGACTTTCTGGCTCGGGGTTTAGCATCTCGGTGTGGCTAAGCCGACAATCACCTGACAACCCATGCAAACCCTAAAACCTAAACCCTAACCCCTAAACCCCTAAACCCCTAAACCCCTAAACCCCTAAACCCCTAAACCCCTAAACCCCAGACCCCAACCTACACCCTAGCAGCCCAACGCAGGACCAAGCCTCTAGCCTGCACCTCAAAGCCACATTTTAACACATCTTCTGTACCCCAAACCCTGGGTTTAGGGTTTAGGGTTTAGTGTTTAGCTAATCCAAGACAGCTATTTGGAGGTTTCCGAAAATAGGGGACCCTAATTGAATACTAGGACCCTTATTACAAGGACCCCCAAATAAGGTACCCCGTATTTTCGGGCCTTACGGCCTTGGATTCTTTGATGATCGCTGGAAACGATGATACAGTCGATGACAACAAAACCCTTTCGTATGTTCAGTAAGGTTCTCTTCTCAGGGGCAGTACAGGATTTCGTCCATGAGCAGTGTGAGCTGTTTAGGGCTACAGGGATATCGGCTTAGACAGTTTGGAGAGTTCCAAGTTTAGATTTTCCGGTGTAGGCTACCGAGATAGTGGTGTATGGGGCTGGAGGGTTGGGTTGTGCAAGGTAGTAAGTAGTTGCGTTTGGCAAACCCTGCAAAATACAGCCTGAAAGTAGTAGGCAGCTGCAGCCACGGAGAAACCCCCAACCAGTACCCAGAGAACCCAATACCCCTTGATTAAGGAATATACCTTAAATCATACTATGAAGGCCCCTATAGTTTAAGGTATATTCCTTAATTAAGGGGTCTTGGGTTCTTTGGGTAGTGGGGAGCGCACAGATGAGCCCCAAAGGAGGATCAACGGGTCTCTGATCCGCACTGCAGACCCCTTGGGGTTGGGTTTAGGGTTTAGGGTTTAGGGTTTAGGGTTTAGGGTTCAGGGTTTAGGGTTTAGGGTTGATAGTGGGACCATTGACCGTGCTTCGGGTTTAGGGTTTAGGGATTGGGAGTTTAGGGTTTCTGGGATAATTGACCGCGCTTCGGGTTTAGGGTTTAGGGTCCTTCTAGGTACTGGAGATCAACATGGGGATCCTAAACTTGCAGCCTCTTACACAAAAGCAGCGCCAGCAAGAGCGCCAAACCCTACAATGCCCAGTCAAAGTACAAGACAACTAGGACGGGGACCCCAGCAGCTCGTAATGATGTCACCTCCTAAGGGTTCGTTTAAGGGTTTAAGCTATTGTACAAGCTTGTCGAGAGAGCTAGCTGATCCGCGGTCCTGTTGAAGGAACCATGAACCTCCAAGTGAGCTCTGAAGGCTCGCGGTTGAAAAATGGGTGCAGCCGTCGCCACGACGTTGTTTTCTTCAAGATGGTTCTGTTTACAAACTGCGTAACTGGGGCTTGGCCTGGCCGTGGAGGTCATAATCGGAGATGAAAAAAAAGAAAATCTGGGCCCCTACCTTGAAGTGCACAGTTTACGTGTCAGTTTGGGCTTGACCTTGCAGCAACAGGGTTTTAGGGTAGCCCTAGATATCGACCCTGCAACCCCAAAAGAGACCTGGTGCCCTAAACCCTAAACCTTAAACCCTAAGCCCTAAACCCAACATAATCGTCTTCACGCCAGGCTTCCCTTCCGTCGGGTCTTGGGATCTCTGACGTACATGATGGTCTAGTCTGGGAGTTTCCGAACTAAGGGGTACCTTATTTTGGGGTCCCTATAATAAGGATCCTACTATTTAGGGTACTATATTGGGGTATGTAGAGCCGCGATTAGTGAATCGCCTAGCTGTCCTAGGAGCCTCATAGTAGAACCCCTAAACCCGAAACCCCTAAACCCCTAAACCCTTAACCCTTAAACCCCAAACCGAAAACCCAAGGCTCAGGGTTTCTTGGACTTAGGCTTCGGGGTTTAGGATTTGGGGTTTAGGGTTGAGGGTTTTAGGGTTCAGGGTGTAGGATTTGGGGTTTAAGGTATAGGGTTTTAGGGTTCAGGGTGTAGGGTTTGAGATGGTTTTAGGATTTTAGGGTTGGGGTGTGGGGTTGCTTGGATACTCATAGCTGGCGCACCTGTTTAACCTTGATTAAGAGCCCCCATTCTTCGAGGAGCTCAATATTAGGATGCTTATGCATAATCCTGTAATCCTGCGAAGGTATAGGGTTTAGGTTTAGGGTTTAGGGTTTAGGGTTTAGGGTTTGGGGTTGGGGGGTTTGTGACGGTTTGTGAATCAGCGGTCCACAGTATGCCGTCTCATTGCTGCGACCCAGAGATGTGCAATTATGATTTAGGGTTTAGGGTTTCGGGTTTAGGGTTTAGGGTCTGTCCCTAGATCTGAAGCCCTAAACGCTGATTCCCGGACCGCTCCCGATAGTCCATTGCTGTTAGTGTTTATAGACTGTAGACCCCAAAACAAGTATTTTAGGATTGTTGGGTTTTGGTGGTTATTCTTTGGTGGGGGAGGCAGTGATGTACAGTGCGGCGGCAAGGAGGCGCTCCAAGAGCCCTGACCCCCAAAGGTCCTGAACCCTGAAGGTTTCTCCTGGATGTTTATGGAGTCAGGCGGTCTCTATTTAGGCTTAGACATTCATAGGGTGTCTAGAAGAAATCAATCTGAAATTCTAGAGGGGGACTTTCATATGGTTCAAGGCTCAGGCACAGTTCTTCGTTGCAAGGTGTGTAGCCTCTGGCAAGGTTCTGGACCCGCAGCCCCTATACAGTGTATAGCCGTTACACACTCTACAGCCTCAACCCTCAACCCTAACAGCCAAAATGTTTAGAGTTTAGGATTTAGGCGTCTGGGGTTTAGGGTTTAGGCCTAGGATTCGTTCAACAGTGTGCTCTCAACCCTGGATCCCAACATCAAAGTCTTGATGCCAAAACCACCCAAACCACGCTACATGCCTCAGAAAGCAGCTCATGTCCGGTTGTAGGAAGTAGGTCATCCTTTGTTTTGTAAATGCCGGATTCAGTGATCAACTGCATGTTTTGATTGTAGAAAGTTCATTTAAATATAACAGCAGCTTGTACATGTCATATGGCTTAGGTGTATACACATATACATAAATATGTGTATATATATAGATATAGATATA